GGCTTGGTGCTGAGATGCTGAGTGTAGTTCCCAGGGAAGGAGCTTGTAGACGCAACTCTTGCTGCTCGGAGTCATGCTACCTCTATAACATCTCAGACACTGAATTCTATTCAAGTGTACATTATAGTGATTTGACATTTATATACATTACCAAATGATCCTCATGATAAGTCTAGTTACCATCTGTCACCATATAAAGCTATTACAGTATTATTGACTATATTCCTTACGTTCTGCATTACATCCTTGTGACATTTATTTCCTTTGAATTTCTTTCAGTTAGCGAAAACAAGTACTAATGTAGGTTTTTCAAAAAAGGGAAGTAGCATAATGAGAACTTTTGAAAAGTGGGGGATACCTGCATTCTATTTATGAGAGCTCTGTCAGCAGTTAAAGCAGAAAGTAGGTGTGATCCATGGTGGCTTTCCTGATGTGTATCTTTTAGAGATCTCACTTAAGGACAAAATGATTGGGTTATCTGGTATTTGAGGACAAGAACTTTCTTACACACTCCAAAACCTTTTCAGATATAGGCAGAGCAGAGAAATATATACATGTGTATGTGTTTGTACCTATAAATATATATAGTATGAGTGTGTAACAATGTTATGAATATTTATATTCATACATAACTACTGATTCAGATTGACAGAGGAAGTTCTCTTAGGGACATCTGCCACTGACCCTTCTTGTTTTTTTTTTTTTTTTTCAAAGACAGAGACATTTGGGGTTGATGCGGTATTCACATTTAGATAATTTCAAAATAGTTTGGGGACTAGACTGGGACGACAGGTCTCTTTTTACATTTGTGTGATTTCTCCCCTTAGTTAATAACCTTGGTGACAGGTGTGTATGGACATGGGAGGCAGAGCAAAAACACTGTTGGATGAAAAGGACAGATTGCTTAGATAAAAGGCAAGGGCATCTGGTCATTTCTGATGTCTTAGAAAATGAAGGCTGTGCTCCCCAGGAAGGATTTTGAGGGGCTCGTGGATCAGTTGGTATAATTGATTTTTCTGGTCTCTAATCTCATTTGTTTTCCCTCTAATTATTCCCTGGCGTTGACCTCCAGGGTCTGTTTAGTTACACTTGTCACTAGGGAAAGGTCAAAGGTTATAGCAATGGAACACTTAATTTTCTTTTGCCTTAATGTTGTTTTTAACATGTTGTATGTTTGAAATGAAAAAGACTGCAAGATACCAGCAAATTCTGTTTAAAAACATTGTTTTGTAGAGGCCGTTCTGCCAGTTCCTCCTCTTGTCCCCATCCCACCTTACCTACTTCCTGAATATTTCAAAGCCAGCATTATTTTTAAGAAAAAAAATTTAGAAATGATTCCTTACTATCAATAATAGCTTGTGTCATCTTCATATAGGAACTATAGAATCCAATATATTATGATAGGATGAGGAGAGGCCACTAATATAACTGTAAAACAGTTTATTTACTTATTATTATTATTTTTTTTAATAAAACTAACAAATATTCCATTTATTTGAAAATGGGGATAACTTTTACACAAAGGTAAAAACAATGTCAGATGGTTACAGTGGACCACCTCCTCTATGTCAGGCTTTCTGTTGAAAAAACAAAGATGAGTAGGACATGGGCCTACCCTCTAAGAATTTTCCAAGGAGCTCCTTTTGCTTTTTATCCTCTTAGCCATACACTCTCTCATAGTTATTCACACCCATCTTTCTCCTTGTTCACTCACAGATGCCAAGGCGACAGTTTTCTCACATCTTGGTGTACTTTCTCTTTGGAGTGCAGTGCTCTTTTCACTGTGGCACCCACCACTCTGTGTGTGGTCCTCGGACAGCAGAGTTTCAGGTCCACCCTCCACAAGCCAGAACTGCATTATAACAAGAAGCCCAGGTGCCTTAGACTTACAAAATGTGGTAATATGCAGATTCCATTTCAGTTGGGCTGGGTGTGGCCTGAGAATCTGTATTTCTGATGAGCCCCAACGTGATGTCAGTGCTGGCTGAAACTGTGGACCACACTGGGGATAGGAAGGCTTTCCTCTAAAGAGCCTATACTTAATCTCCTCTAGTGTTAGAGAGTAGCAAAGATGTTTGGCTTCTCTGATAATAGGGGCATAGTGTAGGTAGCTAACCAAGTACTTCTGGCCTAAATGGAGAGACAAAATTTTAAAAAAGTGCCTGCTTTCTATGTGTTCGACATAGCTCTCAGCTTTATTTCTAACACAGTCTTATGTTATGAGGTAGGTACTATTATTATCTCTATTTTACAGACGGGGAGATTAAGGCACAGAGTTAAGTCGGTTAACCAAAGTCACATTAACTAACAAGTGAAAGATTAGGGCTTTGAACCCAGGCAGTGTGGCCTCAGTACCCAAGCTTCGAAAGGATTGCTGTGTGCTTCCTCTCTGTCTAAGATATTACATATGTAGGAAAGTCGAGTGAGATCATCGCTCAGAAATGAGAGTGTCTTGGTTTGGGTACTGGGGAGGTTCCAGAAGGCAAGCTGAGTACAGGTGTGCGGTCAGTATAAGGAAGGTTTAGCAGTAGAGTGTGGAGCCGTGCTGTTCATTTTTAATGGACAAGATTAATGGAGGAAGGAGAGACAGATAGTGTGCCAGGAGCTGAGGAACAATATGACATGTGTAGCAAACTTTATATTAAACATTATGAAACATCAGATACTGACCGAGGTTTACATTTATTATTTTATTTAAATTTTATAACGATTTTATGACATAGGTACAAATTTTAAAGATACGGAAACTGGTTTAGAGAGATTAAGTGATTTTTCTAGGGTCAACAGAGAGTAGGTTAGCATAATTTGAATTTTGTCAGTTCTGTCTGATTTCAAAACCTGTTTCTAAATGTTTTTTGGTCTGCTGCCTTTCTGAGCAAGGACTTGGAACAGAAATTAGATAGAGGAGAGACCAGAACTTGCAGTGTAAAGAGGTACTTGGCCACAGGGATGAAGGTAAGAAGAACACAAGAGCAGCAAGGCAGAGAACGTATAAGGTTCACTCAGTGCTGGCTGTTTAAAACCGACTGGAGTTTTCTAAGATCTCCCTTCTTAAGTCTGGTCCCCAGGTTGGCCACAGGGCCGAAACTGCATGTGGGGGCTAAGTGGCTGCAAGTGTAATTCCATTAACATCTGATGATTTAACGTTTGTGAGCACTGAACACCCTCCCTGATCTCCTGCGTTCTTCATCCCTGAGTCAGTCCAAGAGAAGACAGTCCTGCCCTCACTTTGACCTCCTATTTCTTAGACACGCACATGTGGCAGCACTGGTGGTTCACTCCTTGCATCACCAGAAGTGAAAGATGGTTTCTTTCTTCCCGCAGTCTTTATGATCATTGCATTTCTTGCCATAGACATCCCTCATTGCTACAAATGAGAAAATCTGAGCTAATTTACTTTAAATAAATTCTTATAGCCCTATGTGACCCCATATAAATCTCTTAAACAGATAACTAAGCTGACAGCACGTGTTGTGTGCCCAGAGAATTCTCTGCCTCGGGATGGTCGTAAAGGAGGAAATTGACTGAAGTTAGCAGATGGGCACTGCTCATTTTTTGGCAATCATTGACAAATATGCAGTACCTCCAGGTGGCTCCTATGAAGCTGTCCTGTGCACATGCTCCTAGCGCCCCATGCAATGTGGAATGCTGCTGTTCCTCTCCTCCCTGGGTAAGACAGCAGGTTGTGCTCTATGATGTGACTCCTTTCTTCTTTATCCTTATGATCAAAGGCTTGATTTCATTTTTTTAAAAAAGATTATCTTTTAATGATAGGAACATCAGAACTGTATTACAAAAAAAAAGTTAGAAGGGAGAAAACACTCCATTTACCATCCTAAAATTAAGATTCCTAGGTTTTAAAGTTTTCGGCAATAAAATGTACCTTTTGTTTTATATCTGCATTTTCCTTTCTTGCTGTATAATCTCTATCATTACCATTTTAATGGTTGCATAATAGTCTGTCATGACACTATACTATTATTTAACCCGGTTGTTGACGTGTACATTGTTCCCAACTTTTCACAATTATTAATAATACTGGGAGGCATATCTTTGTTTCTGTAACTATTTCCATATATTGAATTAGTTTCTTAGGATAGAGTCCCAGGTGTGGCATTGCTGGATTTTATGGCTTCGAAAACATATTGCCAGATTGCTTTCCAGAGGAGTGGAACCAATTTACATTGCTGTCACAAAGTCATTTGTTTTCTAGATGGCCAGCTAGGGTTAGGGATGCACCCTTTCATAGTAACAGAGGAGGAAGAAGTGTGTGCGTGTTTGCAAAACTCGCTTGTTCCTATGTGTTTTTATTTAAGGACCAATGACACTCTGCATTATACTTGTTAATAGGAATATACTAGGTATCTAATGCCAATATAATAGTCATCCAGTTCAGTGTTTAATATAGCAATGTGCTAGAAATGGAATAAAGCAAGTTCTGTATATTTTCTATTTCCTTAAAATTTGGAATTTTTGAAAAGTTGCCCAACCTGAATTGACAAGAGCATTTAGCCGTTTTGACAAGGTTCTTAGTGGCCCTCTACTTCTCAGGAATACCTAACGATTTGGAGGGGAAGGTAGAAGGAGGTTGAGATGATAGGCAGGGTGGGACATTGGAAGAACCTGGGCATCTGCTCAGGAGCATGCCTAATCTCAGCAGCAAAAATTGCTTTACCTGGTAACTGTAGTCTTTTGGATGCTGAATGGAGTACTTGACTTGAGAAGGATTTTGAGGATTCATCTAGGCTCAGTAGGAAAAGTACTGTGATTAGTTAGCAATTTATTCTAGATCTTTGTCATTGCAATTTTTATCACTTCTTTATATTTCCCATTGGATTATAAACATTAAATGCCTTAAAGTAAGACCTATACCTTTTAAAATGAATAACTTTTATATCTTTACCCTGAAGTGTCTAGCACATTGTTATTTACATTATGTAAGTGGTGGTTTTGTGTCTTCTGTTTGAAGGAATGAATAAATGAGGGAAAGTAATACTTTATCCTCAAGGTCCCAGGAGTTCTACCAAAGCCCTGTGGGTAAGTAATGGGAACCCATAGTTCTTGTGTTTATGTGTAAAACCTGCAGCAAATTTTATAGTGGTAAAGGAAGAGGAAATTTCAGCTGAGAGATTTAGGAAAGGTAATGCCAGAAAAGACCCTCGATTCATATCTGGTGGGATGTTCTTATTTGACAGATGAAGAAACCGAGCCCATTAAGGAGTCACACAGATAGTGGCTGACAACTGGGATCTCAGGTCTGAGTCTCTTAATTTCTGGTGTAGTGTTCTTTCCTCTACGCTATGTTGCGAGAACTTGGGGCACTTGTTTTGCTACTCCCATCCCCAGTGCTCTCGAAAGATGTATATTTGGAGTCTTCTTTGATAAATGCCCACGTTTTTTCTCTCTTGTAGCTGCACAGAGATGTATTTAGAGATTGTGACCTTGATGTAATAGTCTGACTGAGGTCTAGAGCAATAAAGGCTTGGAGATTTGTATTGGATGCCATGAGATAGTGTGGGATCAAAATTCAATTCCATACAAAGTTACAGCTTTGTGATATCTATGACTTTGAGTATAAACTTATTTTATTTAAAAGGAAAATTGTTCAATGTTATTTGTTGTACATGATTTGAGTATGTATTTGCCACAATTGTGATCCTAATAAAACTCTCATTATGATCTGTATGCGCAGAATAGAGATTTAAGGTTGTCAATGGAGCATTAATTTTGAGTTTTTGATTTCTCTTGTGTGACTGAAATCTAAACCTCAGTATTACTATGTGGTAGTTTTTCCTCCTTCCTCTTTATAAGCTCTCACCCCAAATATAATAAGCGTGTTTAGTTGTGTAGTTGAAATTCTGAAGCCAAATTCTGAAGCCTTTAATAGTGAGAGAAGCGCTCTTGGTGACTTTCAAATGAAACAACTGTGGAGACGGAATGGGAAAGAGAAATAACAGTCCACTGGTTCTTTTACCAGCCATGTGATGTCTGCCCTGGGATTTGAATGATTTGTAGGTGACTGTAACTCACTCAGTCCGTAGTGGCTTGAGGCCCCTTGAAATTGATATTAACCTCTAAGCTGTCAGTAGTTACAGCTACTGGGTAATTGGGTTTGGAATTTATGGATATTTACATTTCAGAGAACTTTTACTCTGTTTCTCTAACTTTAGAGTGGAAATGTTTGTCCTTAATATGTCAAAGCTTATTTAATACATGATGCTATTGTATTTAAAACTCAGTATGTAAACTACTTTCTTCCTGGAAAAGCACAAGGATAATCTGGGTAATCCTACTTGTGGACTAGTGGACAGGATGATTTTTCTCTGCATCCCCACTAAATTAGCTTCATACTATCTTTCGTGCAATAACCAGCAGTATGGTTATACAGTGAAAAGAAGTTAGAAAAGTCTTACTGACCTGGTGTTGAGAAACATTTTGTTATAATAGCATGCTGAGTAGGTACCTTTTTCACTTTGTTTGGTCTCTAAGACAGGGGTCCCCAACACTCTCCGCCCCCCCACAAGGAATCCTACAATCAGTGGCCTGTTCAGAACCAGGCTGCACAGCAGAAGGTGAGTGGTGCGCCAGCAAGCAAAGCTTCATCTGTATTTACAGCCACCCGCAGCGCTAACATCATTGCCCAAGCTCCACCTCATCATCAGGCATTAGATTTTTATAGGAGCACCGGTTCCTGGTGCCAAAAATGTTGAGGACTGCTGCTATATGAGATTAAAAGTTTTGTCATGATAGGAACTATAAACTTGTTCTCAAAAATTTAGAAAATAAGGTAAAATTGAAAGGAGAGAAAATTTACCCATTTCCTCCCTATAATGCAAACTACTTAAAACAAACATTTTTTTCATTCCTTTTTTGTGCGTAATTTTTATGTGGTTGTAATTGGACTGTTTATGAAAAATTTACCTTTTTTTACTTAACATATATGTTTTCCTTTTATAATATATTTTTCTTTACAGAAGCTTAATTTTTCATTGAAAGGTATTTATTAAAATATTTGCTTATTCTGTCAACATCTAGACCAGAGGCTCAGTCCTTACTCATTGGTGGGATTTTGCTCTGCCTCTGAGTAATAGAGACTGACCTGGGTAGACAGGCTGTTCAGTTAGTTGTGGTGGCCTCCCTTTTTCTTTGAGATTCAATGAGCTGCACTTCTCTGATATTTTCCTGATTGCAGATTATCCTCTTGTGAGCTTTTTGTAAATAAAGTTTTGTATGTATTTAGGATTAGTGATTTAGGATATTTTCCCAGAGTGGAATTGCTTGCTCTGAAAAGGATAAACATTTTGATGTTGCGCGCGCGCGCACACACACACACACACACAGTTTTATGTTGTATTATATTTTATATATTATTTTCTACAAGTTGATACCAGTAATATCAGATGTGTGAAACTAATCATGCACTACACAGAACATTGGGTATTATTGCTGTTTATTTAAGCTTTGTTAACTTGATGGGCAAAACATAGCATTGAATTTCACATTTCTTTGCTTAGTAGTGAGTTTGAACATTTCGGCATGTATTTGTTAACTACTTGAGTTCCTGTTGTCTGAATTACCTCATCTTGGCTTAAAGTTGTGGGTAGGAAGGGGTGGCTCATGTCAGAATCTTGGTCACATGAGTGTGATTAAAATATAAAGCTGCCCTGAGGACTCGATCTTGACAGGACCCTACACTGAGCTTTAACTTTTGCATTACCTGGTGGCAGACAAGCACTCATCCTACCCACATTGCTCCTGGAGATGAGAATCTTTAAGACTGAAGTAAAAGGAAGGTGTGAGATTTTTATTTTTATCAAAAAAAAAAATGGGACATGGATGTGAGAATGTTTTCACTTTTTAAAAAGACCTGTGACAAAATTATTCTTCTTCCATTAA